TTTGATCATTTAATGTTATTTTTCGAGGTTGGAAGTCTAGGAAGGCTCTAATATAAAGAAGGGGGGGGGGGAATGTAGCAGTTGAAAATGATATATTTTATCTCTTAAAACCAGAAAGGAATATTAAAACCCCTGTGAACAGGATTCCAGTAGTCATAGATTTGATTTAAGCCTTGCCACAAGCCATAATGTCTAGTCAGTAAAGGATATGCTTGGGTAACTATAGTTCTGTGCAATCTCTCCACTGGAAATGTATCATGCCTCACACTAGGTTTGTAAAGTTAGTACAAAAGGTGATGTAATCTTCCTTTCAATATGTAAAATTGGGATGATGAATGTGATAGGTAATTTATGATTATGGTATATCATACTAGCACCTATTTGACATAACAGTGTACTATGGGCAATCAACTCTGTCTCTATGGAGTGCATACGTCTCTTGCCTTTCTGCTAGCTTCAGCATCTAGGAATGTCACATTAAAGCACGGAAGCTGCTCAGAATTACAATCAAGATTTTTGTTTGAGTCTTTCTTTTGCTGTTCATGTTAATGTTACTCTCTCTCTTATAAAGAGATGCTTATATTTTCACATTATCGTAATACTGTGTGCTTACCTGTTGGTTTACATTTTAATCAAAAAACAGATAGACAGTTTCCTAAGAGCACAAGAGGTCAAGGAGTCAACAGGAGCTATGTTTTTAGTTTAATAATTTTCTGAGGTGATCTTTTAAGTTGGAAACTGTGGTATTTTAAAAGCATTATATTTTGTGAAAGGTTGATTTAACGGAAAAAATGTAAATGCAAAATAAAATGAGAGCTCGTGGAGAAATGGGGTCCATAAATCTGAAGATGTCAGTAGGCCCACTATGTTCTTAATCCGGACCTGACCAAATATGGGCATGGACTTAAACTACCACGTTTAAGCAGGCCAAATGCACAAATATCCACTGAAGTTGGTCGGGCAACTTAACAGGTATGTGATCAAATGGAATCGCTGAAGTTCCAGTTTCTTCGACTATCTTTCTCAAGAAAACATTCGTTGATTTCAAAGTGTGATTAGAAACTTGTGATTTCTTTCGGGGTTGGAAACCTTTATCAACTTCAAATGATTGTTTATTATCTTGTTAATGACACCAGAAGATTTGACCAACTTCATTGCAATGGCCTTTTGGGTTAGAGAGCTCTTTTTCGCGATAACAGCTTCAATTTGCAAAGAAGGTCTCTGTTTGTGATTGGCTCTACTTTTTTAAAAGCTATACTCAGATTTTTTGTTTCTCTCTCTTCTATAGTAAACATGGAAGACTCCCTTTGATATGATATATTATTTGTTTCAACATCATTTAATAATTTCGCTGTATGAAAATTAATAATTGGAAATGTTTTTTAACATCGCCAAAAGTTTATCTTAGTGGTATTGTACTGTGAAGTGGTCGGTAATTCGTCGTGAACGAAATACATAAGTGCTAAACATATTGCTCGTGACGTCCTTCTCTCACCTACTCGGACACGCTGTTGTATTAGCATATATCAATCGTTCTTACGAAGTGTAACTAACTCTCTGTAATATAAACATTTATATTGCTAGAAGTTCGTGATAGGCCTGAGCTCATCCATCAGATCTCTTAAAAGTCTCTATGTTACCGTAAGACCAAGAGCTATCACTATTTTCTCAAGTCACTTGAAACATATATATGTGATACAATAGAGCTCAACACAGATAAATTTGAAAAATATGGCATTTTTATAGTAATGTTAATCGCAACGAAATAGTTATAGGTTCTACAGACGCATTTTTTCAATATGTATAACAGTGACAATATGTATACACACACATACAAACTGCTGTCGGCTATGATTTTTAATTTAGATGTTTCTGTAATTATTTATCCAGAGGTTGTTGTCATGTTACATGATTGACTTGATAGCTAAAACCGTCCTGAAAGTTTAGGAAACGACCTAAAAAACATAAACTGAGAATTCGACTAGAGTAGAAGATGGTGATTGATTAATGAGTTATTCTGTAAAATCAATAATTGATCTGGTTAGTGAGTTAGTCTGTTAGTTTTGTTTTGTGAATATTAAGTAAGTGTTTCAACGATGAAACAGAGATTCAAGAGAAGTGAACAAGTGTTTCAACGATGAAACAGAGATACGAGAGAAGTGAACAAGTGTTTCAACGATGAAACAGAAATACGAGAGAAGTGAACAAGTGTTTCAACGATGAAACAGAGATACAAGAGAAGTGAACAAGTGTTTCAACGATGAAACAGAGATACAAGAGAAGTGAGCAAGTGTTTCAACGATGAAACAAAGATACGAGAGAAGTGAACAAGTGTTTCAACGATGAAACAGAGATACGAGAGAAGTGAACAAGTGTTTCAACGATGAAACAGAGATACGAGAGAAGTGAACAAGTGTTTCAACGATGAAACAGAGATACGAGAGAAGTGAAAATGTGTTTCAACGATGAAACAGAGATACAAGAGAAGTGAAAATGTGTTTCAACGATGAAACAGAGATACAAGAGAAGTGAACAAGTGTTTCAACGATGAAACAGAGATACAAGAGAAGTGAACAAGTGTTTCAACGATGAAACAAAGATACGAGAGAAGTGAACAAGTAAGTGAAATTGTATTATATTAGCACCTAAATTGAACACAGGTCTTTCAGAGAACATTAGTTATACTAACTTGTATAACTTGTAGTTGAATAAATTAAAAGTTTCAGTTATCACTAGTTATACACATACATATATATATATATATATATATGTGTGTATAAAATACATACATACATACAAATACATAGATATGTATATATAGATATATATGCCATTATACTGTACTAAAGACATGCTCAGGTAGATCAACAAAGTGCGTTAGATTTCAAAGTTTCAAATCTTAAAGCTTGCAAATGATAGTATCCATTGTTATTTCTTATGTATTTCATTATTTGACCTAGAAATGATTGGAAACAGTTAAGTTTCTTGTTCGTGCGTGTTTATTAACAATCTTTGTGGATGCAAACGTAGGCAATATTGAGTTGCGGACCGAAACGCTCTGTATAGATAATTGATTTATTATGCCCCTTGGATATAGTTAAATACGTCCACCATGATTTGTCCATACAAGTTAATTCACTTATCTTATAGCGATGTAACTCCATGCTTCTGTATCAGTGGTTCTCCTACAAAAACATCTCTAAAGATATTTTTCACAGCCTCGTGGTCTCATCCTATGCTTATCTTACTATAATGGACGAAGCGTGTATATATGTATCTATCTATGTATTTATGTGACCGAAATAATAAATACAATGTGGCGCTATCTACTTAATGGCACCACAAACAAATATCTATACACAATTTTCACACTTTGATTATTCAAGATTCAGACAATTACAAAAATAACTACGGTATGTACAACAACCTTTTGTTATCATCACAGAACACAATTTTAAATAAAAGTACTCTCCTCGCAACAAGAACACGACTTTCACTAGGACTGTATGTGAGGGTTTGATTATATGTAATTTGTAAATATTGTACTAAACAATAAAGTTATTAAAAACTTATTTTTTCAATAAAGGGTACCATTTTTGACATATAAAAACATTACAGTTTATATCAGCACAATCCGAACACTTTTCCGTGCAGTACTTCCCAGAAAAATCCTTTTTTTTAAAGAAAATGTTCACTTTTTCAACATTTTTTTTCGATGAGGTATGAATATTACGATTAGTAATTACTAGCACAAACAGTCGTCCGTAGGGTATTAATTAGGGTACTAATCGGTATTTACTTAGTGATTTCATTAAACTTTAATCTATGGCACCCACTGTTCGAAATTTATCAAACTCATTGTAAGTACCATTCTCAGCTCCTGAAGTTAAACTTTCTCTTAAATAGAAATATGAAAAAGCCACCAACCTCAAAGATATTAGACTTAAGCATTTTAAAATGCTTTTTTTTATGAGACAATGTCTGTCTTCACAGTGAAATTTACGGGTTTTTATAATTGCACACAGGCAGTAAAACTATAAGACTTCACACTTATAACTCAAAAGGCTGTGTCGTTATTGAGATAAACCCGCGTTTGAGCTTCTGGAAGAATTTACATTTCCTGGCTTTCAGTCCTCATAAAGTTTGAGTTCATCCTAGTTAATGTTTTAGTTTCAAAACCACTTCAGTAACAGATGACAAAACTTATGATTGCTACCATGCTCTAGAACATCCTGCAAAAATTATAATCACGTGTCCGATAAATTGAATTACCAAGTTTACAGATCATTATTCCGTCAAAAACTTATCTTTTAGAGATAGAGTCACAGTTAGAAAAAAACTTTATTTACGTACATATATAGATAAATTCTGATCTCTATACATGCGTTTGATTATTACACACATACATTTTTCACATGGCTTTTAAATTCAAAATGTCAACTGCTGGTCCTCCGCGTATTAGATTACTGCAAAAAATTATTTGTTTGACACAAGACAGTGTTTATTAATCAACTTTAGATAAACCTGGAGTTCCGTATTTTGTGTTTTTTAATTAATTTTAATGTTTTTTTAAGGAAACTATAACCCTCGAGATATTTCTTCGTGTGTCTATTGGACTTAAGCGCCGACTAAACTGGGATTTATAGCACCTGGATTTAGAAGTTCTGGAACCTCACTAAACGTTTCAGTTAAACTTGTTCACGAAGTTGATAAGATCTGTGAAGAATTTTTCACAATATAATGTATACTATAGATTATGTATCATTTTCATAATTTAACGCATACAATATTTGATGTTTCGCAGCAAAATCTTAAAAAAACTGTCAAACGTAAGGATAGAATATAAATGATAACTTTTCCCGCATAAAATGTTTGTTAACTTACATATATTAGTCGTTATCTACAAAACACCGTTATTGATAATGATGTCCAGATGCCAGTGTAAAGAGCCGAAACAGAAAACCTAACGCATGTAAAAATGTTGGGGAATGAGAACTTACCACGGCTGGAATTTGCCCGGGCAGGACTTGTTGAAGGGGCATCTGCTGTAGCAGGGCGTTCTTAAGAGCAAGATGGTTTCTACCGTTTATCAAAAGTTGATCCTTTAAATGTTGTGGAGGGTGGAAGTATTTGCAGGGTGGTTTCTCTCGATTGCACCGACCCTAGATAATGGTAAAGAAACAATATAATGTAAACCATGAAACACCCGTAATTAGAGTAACTACAACTATGATTGTTTAACACTATTTATACCTTATCTCTTGAAATGATAATTTTTATATTATATAATTATATTGTATTTATAAAAAAAACATACACAGAAAACTGATTGTTCAACACTAATGACATACCGACGAAATTGAAATCGGTTTGACATATTAACTAACAATTAATCAACCAAAGAGTAATAAAAAACGGTCTTTATTTGAAAACAAAAAACAACAACAAACAAACACAAAATATCTTTGGTTAGGCAAATAAATGTTTTAAAGTGATTGTACCCTAGTCAACTTAGTACTAACAAGGTTCAGTTTAAAGGATGAATCTGGTTCAAAATAATATACAAAGCACTTGCAATATGCCACATTTTCCTGAACGACAAATTTGCACGTTATTTTTTACGCTAGTCGTGACAATTTTAAAGCACACCCCTGGACACCCCTAGTATTTATTGAGTCACCACCAGTTAGTTTGTCTCGCCGTTTCGGATATTCGCACATAACTACACAAGACAAACCTGCGCTGGCTATCCTTAATTTTGATCTGACAAACAAAGAAGAAAAGCAGATAATTTCACTGATAAGTAATGAGGATTAAGAACTACTAATTAAACCTAAACGTACACAATACTTTTGGTACTGGTGAGAAAGTGATATGTTAATAAAGAATACATTTATTGGAGTATAATAACTTATAAGTGTCATAAACCATACTTTGAAGTGGCTGTAACGCCCCGCTCCTGTGCATAAACGTTCTGCAGTTGTCATGGGAACAGACTATTATCGTAATAAGATACTAAGCCAGCATTTTTATCGCTAAGAGACCGAGGAAGTTAATAAATTCAGAGCAGATGTGTATAAATGATCAACATTATACCAGCAATCCAAGAATACATTCACAATCAATAGAAATAAATGGTAAAACAATGAACTTTAGATATTTCTTTTTACCTTATACCTTTTTTTTTTATCTTATTGATATTGTTTTTTCGTAATCGTGTGGTTTTATGCAATGGAGAAGGAAATTTTCAAAATACATAAACTAATACTTACGAATAAAAATTGATTATTACTTTTTAAGAGCTCCATGAAATTAAGAAATGTAATTCACTTCAGTAAAGTCATGAAAATAAATTATAGTCGTTTTGCTTAAATTATCATTAACCAGAACTGCCTACTTATGCCTATCGCGCTAATAAAGAACATATGATTAGCATCACAGATGTTGCTTTCGGATGGATTCGGTTATGGTTAAGCACGAAATGCAGCGCATAGAGTCGTGACTGAGAGAGTGATTACCATTCCGGTCGTGACATACGGCTGCTACAAGAACAGTGACGTTTGTTTCGGATATTCACACGCAAACACGGGTCGCAGATCATTTGCGTTAGGTTAGTTGTCCGTAATTTTGAACTGACATACTAGAGTAAAGGCAGCTATTAAACACCACACCCCGCCAACTCTTAAACTACACTTTTCTGAACGAGTAGTGGTATTTGACTGTAACTTCCATAACACCTACACAGTCCCAAAGTGTGGAGAACGGTTTTATAGCGGGTCGTGAACCATGATTCCTCGGATTCACAGTACGAATACACCACGCCTGCTAACCCTGAACAAGAATAGAGTTTTGAATTGGTTATAGTTCTCAAAACAAGGATAATTTAACGCCAATAATCCTTTTGTTCCACTGTCATGCACGACAGAAAACAAAGAGCTCCTGACATGACATAGTGTATTACAGCTGTAAAATGTAACGATTGAGAAAAGTTGCCCAGGAAGTACACACTTTAAGCAATGGGACAGTGTTATACAGTACCTTGTCAACGTTATTTTTATACGCGATTCCTTGTAACAATCTTTTATTGTCTTCTTACTTGTTTATAACGAAAAACACCCTGATTATTCATTGTAATTACTAGTTCTATGAACAGTAATGTTTATGTTAATAATAATAATAGTAATGATAACCCGTACAAGTGTTTAAAGAAAAATGCTATAAAATTGTATTAATGACTTCTCAGAAAAGTTAGTCAAAATCTCAAACAAGGATGAGATACGTTTCTTATATAGCCTAAGAAATATTTAGAAAGACCTGGTGTATAATTTAGTAAATATAACACTCTTATAGGTATCTGCATTGTTTAGACTCGATATTAAAGTCAACAAATACCATTCTAGAATATTATTTCTATTCTCATGTAAACTTCAAACCTATGTAATCAGAGTGAGGCTGGGCTGGCTGTGAGGATAGTCGGAACCATGATTACTAATTAGTCTGTTTCAGAGTTTTGCGCAAAGCTACATAAAGTGCACCTCTGAGCATAGCCGTTCCAAAGTACTGGACGCGTTTTTGCAGCAACGGGTCGCAGATCATAAATCTTTGGATTCATAGTCCAGACTCGCTAATTACTAGGCCGCACCCAACCCTGATTATTTTAAGATATAATCTCATTGATATTTGGAAGAAGTGAAAATACAGAGAATTCTTCTGTTAGATTTAGGAACTTCTCAGCAAGTGAGTTTACAGCAATGTGGCTATTTGTATTTTTCCAGTAAATCAGTTATATATTTTAACAAGTCTGTGAGTAATCTGCCATTCCTTAAAAATCCAAAATAAAAAACCAGCGTTTAGTTTTCACTAGATATATCCAGTTTGGCAACATAAAATTAAGGAAATATTTTAACATCTTTTTTTAAAATAACAAAAACATTGACAACAATTTCAGTAATACAGAAAATACATTCAATTTAAGGTGATTTTTCTCTCTTTTTCCGGAGCCTGTGATAACTGACAGCAGACTTAATGACTTACAAGTGCAGCAAAAATTAATGGAACCCATAAAGCCTGTTAAAACATACTCGTTTCCAAACCCAGTTCTTGGTGCCCTCCACCCTTGAAGGACGTAAATTTTACTCTGCGATAACAGATCTTGACGGGTCATGAAGGCAATTGCACACCCCAATGACTGAAGAATTTTTACACAGCTGGTTTCTCATGCATTATGGACTATTGTATCATTCTAACAAAACGTATACTTTCAATACTACACATGACAACTAGGCAGTTATTAACACGTAGCATGATGCTTTGTTTTAAGTAATACTAACAGTATTCTGTAGATACAAATACATACATGTATATATAAAGAGAAAACAACGCCTACGTTCATTCCTGACAATTTATTTCCAATTAGCATAATAGTTACAGCAGGAATGGTAAAATATTTCTAGTAGGAGATGTACCTGCAGAAGTAAGAACCTCACAGTGATGGGGTTATAACTTCTATCACATCTAGCCTATATTCGCAAGTCTTGCATATGAACTGAAATTTAACTTCGACATCAAGCAACTTAGGAGCAAGTATGGGAGTATCCAACCCTCCTCATCTAAAACAGCTGCAAGTTAATAAAGTAGAAACGCAATAAAATGAAAAACAGATTATTACGGGTGATAAGTAAATGTTGATATTGCAGTCTCTTTAGTGGTCACGTACTTACTTGTATGAACGGAAATTTAATGAAATTTATGATGACTAGGTCAATATACATTACTAAATAAAGAATAAAATTCAATTTTTATTACTGCTAAATTAATTAGCCAGGCGTAGCCTAGTGTGTCGGGTTAGGGATCGAAGTGTCTGAGGCTTGAAACTTAATGTCGCTTAACACACTCCACACTTTCAACTGTGGGAGAATTATAAAAGTGACAGTGAATCCTGTTATTTTCTCTGATCGTTCAGCTCATGTGCACATAATGTGCCGTTCAGACGGAAAATTCTAAATCCTGCTATATTATTCCAGTTAAGGAAATAAATTTATTTTTATTGGTATTGTATATTGATCTAATTATCGTAGGTTTCATACAGTGTTCACACGTACATATATATAGTAAGGAATTGTTTAGGTACATTTTTATTGGTATTGTATATTGATCTAATTATCGTAGGTTTCATACAGTGTTCACACGTACATATATATAGTAAGGAATTGTTTAGGTACATGTTTATTGGTATTGTATATTGATCTAATTATCGTAGGTTTCATACAGTGTTCACACGTACATATATATAGTAAGGAATTGTTTAGGTACATTTTTATTGGTATTGTATATTGATCTAATTATCGTAGGTTTCATACAGTGTTCACACGTACACATATATAGTAAGGAATTGTTTAGGTACATTTTTGTTATAACTAGTTTTAAACAGAAATGATTTTTACATTGCAATGTGAACATGGTAACTTCTAAGTCAGATGTTTCAGCTTTTGTGCCAAAACTAAAGTCACGTGAACTGGAACTCTTTTAATTCCATATCATGATCAACTAAAACAAGGGCTAACCAAGCAATTTATGTTTTTCTTTCACTGCTTTTTCCCTGCAGTTTTTTTAACGTTAATCTTTGAATGATTATATGTTGCGCTACTAGACAGAATTAATTACTTTAAAAATTTTAAGCACACTGCAACAGTAGTGATAATAATGCACGAGATAATGAGAATGTGAATTTTATAATATTTTCTCAAATTAAGTACCTGTGCATATATGTCTTTATCAAATTAAGTTTTGCTTTGTTTTTCATATTCTGTTGCTATATTTTCGTATGTGAAAAGTATTATGCATACTAACCTATTCAAACCTAACTAAAAATGGTAGTAACAGCTTTTAAAAGGCTTAGTGGCGAAAAGGAGGAAACAATGAAAATACGTTTTCTTCCAAAATAATAACCAATTGTAAAACGTACTTATTCATCATCCTTGTTTTTTTTGTTTTTTTTGGTGTGGTTTCTTTGTTATAATAAGCTTTCTTTGTTTTTAGAAATACGTGAACGCACCCCTTGTGTGTATTAGTATTTGTCCAACTAATCCATGTTATTTGAGGCAGACACAAACATTCTGTATTTAGTACGTCTAAATACACCATTTGAAAATCTCGAGAGATT